GGATTTGGGGGATGGGAGAGAGGACTGGGGCGGGGTAGAAGGGAGGGGCAGAGAGGATTTGGGGGTAGGGGAGAGAGAGAGGACTGGGGCAGGGTAGAAGGGAGGGGCAGAGAGGATTTGGGGGGTGGGAGAGAGGATTTGGGGGGTGGGAGAGAGAGGACTGGGGCAGGGTAGAAGGGAGGGGCAGAGAGGATTGGGGGTGGGGGAGAGGATTTGGGGGGTGGGAGAGAGAGGACTGGGGGAGGGGTAAAAGGAGAGGGCCGAGAGGATTTGGGGGATGGGGGAAGAGGGCTGGGAGAGAGGACGGGAACGGGGTAAGAGAAGGGGGGAGTGAGCAGATTCCTGGGAGGAGGGAGTAGCAGGGTAGCACATATCTTCTGTTCAGTTTCTTGTTCTTTTCAGATTTGCTCATCACAGTATGTATTAACAAGTAATGAAAGGGTGGCGAGTGCTATTTTAGGATGCAACACCACTGTCCAGGAGGGGGATTTAGGAAGGATTACAGACCCTCCTTAGAGGGGTTGCAAAACACCATCCAAAGGGCTGCAACTGTTTGTACATTCCCCACCATCACTACAACCATTGCACTCCCAGCCTGCCAGGAGTTTACATAACCTCTCTCCAGGTGCCTCCATGCAAAATGTCCCTGCACTCCTCCCCAAACGACAAGATTCCTGTAAGAATGGGTATTTCCTTAACTGTAAGGGATACTTTAGCTTGAGGCCCAAATAATAACACAACTCCTTGACCTTAAAATCTAAAATGCAGGTAGAAATTATGGCTGTTTAACAGAGGATTTTTTAAAAAATTATCTTCTCTGCATTGAAAACTTATAAAGAACAGAGACAGAAACCCAGTTTGATAGATGATATTTCCTCAATTTTTACTTGAGGCTTGAAAAATGTTCTTGACACCTCCTAACCAGAGTGCATTAGAAAAATTCAAGCTGGGATTTTCAATGGAGCCTGAGGTGTTAGTCAAATCCCATTAAATTGGTCATCTAATCTGGTCAGTTTTGCTGCTTCTGTTCAGAACATTGTGGGCAGCAGTGAAACTTTCAAAAATCAAGTCAATTTCAATCTACTGCCACTGTATAGAAAATCTACTAGTATCAGCAAAAGCAGACACTAGAGCTATTCATAGAAGAGGTGGTGACTCAAAAAAACAAAAAACAAAAAAAGACAGTCATTTAACTTAAGATGTGAATTTAAACTGATTTTAGTTAAACAGGTGCAAATACCTGTGAGGCCATTCTTATTTCAGTTTAAGAGCAGTTTATTTAATCTTCAACCTGTTCTCAACTGACTTAATATAAACTAAAAAAAAAAAAGCCACTCTTAAACCAAAATAACAATGTCCACATAGGGTTTGCACCTGTTTAACTAAAATCAGTTTAAATTCACATCTTAAGTTAAATGACTGTCTTTTTTTGTTTTTTGTTTTTTTGAGTCACCACCTCTTCTATGAATAGCTCTAGTGTCTGCTTTTGCTGATACTAGTAGATTTTCTATACAGTGGCAGTAGATTGAAATTGACTTGAGTTTTGAAAGTTTCACTGCTGCCCACAATGTTCTGAACAGAAGCAGCAAAACTGACCAGATTTGTAAATTTCACTTTGCTTCGACTTTGAGAAAATAGGTACAGCAAGAGAAACAATGGAAATGGCTGTCTGAAATCTATGGTTGAAAAGTGCTAAAGTGCTGTCTCTGAGTATGCAATGTACTTTACAAAGGTAAATCACGGTCATCCTCATTTCACAGATGAGGTAACTGAGGCACAGATAGGTGAAATAATTTGCCCAGTGACATACCGATTCAGTGGCAGAGCTAGCAGCAGAATCCAGGTCTCCCAATACGTGCCCTATCCATTGGACCACCTTTGCTTTCATTAGTTTGCATTTGTAAGGTTGTCTTCACAACCGTAAGAGTTAGAAACTTTAAAAGTGAATGCTTAATTTCTGTAGAAATTGATGGGTTAAATCCTGCAGCTCAAAGAAAGTTTTTTACTCATCACTGAGTGGGTGAATGGATATTTCAAGCCCTGCTTTATTTTAAAACTGAAGCATAGCTATCGTTTTAAAAATCTATACACACTAGTTGATTCATTACTCCTTAGCCCACAGTGTACGCATAATCTCCCAATATAGATCTGCTATTGCATATAGTATGATCCATGCCAGAGAAGCGACAGTTATAGATATCCAGTGTGTTAATAAAAGGCCTGATGAAGAACAACAATTTTATGCCATAAGAAGTGTTGCCTCTGGAAAACTAAAAATTGATGCGGTGACGTACCTGACACATGGCTTCCTATACCCATACATTAAAGTTAAACTTATGTTATATAAATAATCATTTTTAATACAAACAGACTTTCTTCCTGCTGCATCAAGCACTCCCCTGCTGCTGTAACCTATTACAAAAGAAAATGGCACTAAAATGTCAACAAATGTTTCCTATTTTCAAATGCTGACACTGTTTTAACTCAGCCATTTGATCCCTTATGTATATAAAGTGATTGCACATGGCTTGTCTGTTAACATATAAATATATTTTAAAAATTGTCAATATATTTTTATAAGTAAATATTCTTTGTCCTGCACTTATATCTAGAGGGATATAGCTATAGATATCCAACAGGGTGTAAATAAGATCACTAATGTAGAACATATGATAGAACAACTATAATCTGTTGCCTTAACTTTATTTCCCTGATAATATGTATACACAGATTTATTATTTTAGGGATAAGTGAATTGTCACTGCCATTTTTTATAATGATTAAAGGCCCTATTTTGCCACGCTTACTCATGCCGAGTAGTAATTTACTACACAGTTAGGCCCTAATCTTGTGAACACTTGACTCATGCTTAACTTTACTACCAGTAGTAGTCCCGGGATTTTAAATGGGACTATTAACAATAGTAAAGATAACCACATGTGTAAGCGTTGGCATTATCAGGGCCTTAGTGTCATTGATTTCCTATTGAACAAAATACTACTGAGTGTGAGTGGCAGACACGCTCCCTGAAGCATTTATAAATACAGGAGTGCATCAGCTTTGCAGGATCAAATTCTGAGTCTGCCCACAATGCTACTGACTGTGTAAACAATTTGATAGGACTCATCTAAATATTTAACAAACATAACTTATTGACTATTTCAGTGAACAAATTGTTTGTTTACATTTAGTCTAATATTTCCTAAATACAGGTCTGGTCTACACTGCAGCACAAAATATGGAATGAATTCTTCACATCTGAATCATATTTTTCCACTCTTCCCTTTCTACACATTTGCAACATGAATAATAGCTTATCTCAAAGAGTATTAATCCAGCCACATGGTCATCATACTAATTTAAAAAGACCATCTTTAAGTGACAGCAACTGGCATCCAAGTCTGCATGACTCTCAGGAGTCTGATTCTGAAAGCCTTACTCAAGAGATACAATATCAGTTAGAACTTCAAAAACGGATTTATGAAAATGAAGTACTGGTAGGCCAGTCTTCTGATGAGCTGGAGAATGACAGCTTAGACGAAGATAGTCTAGAGGAGAAAAGTCTGAATGAATCAGAAGGAGCAAATTATGACAAAGAACAATTTTCAAATGGAAAAGATTATGGAAAACATAATGAAAGGTAAGGAATATATTTTTAGTATATAGCTATGATAGGCCTGACTGCTCTTGTGCTAAGCCATTCGAGTAGTGCATTAAAGTGGGCATAAATGTAACTTACACCTACCTAATAGAAATAGTTAAATTGGCACAAAGACTGTATGTAGACCAGGCCTTAATGTGAATGTGAATTCAGGGCGATGTGTTTTGAAATGTATTGTGCTGTACAACTTTGTTTCTTTAGAAAAGAAGGGAGAGCAACCATTCTTTGTTCACTGAGGGCTAGATTGAAGCTTGCACAGACTACACTCCCATTTGGGGAAGTCAGAACCTGCCACCCCTAATATAAGCTACCTAGACATTGGTTTTGGGAGTGCAAAAGTAGGTGGGTGCTTCATACCCACTTACTTGCCCTCAAAGTAGGTGGGCAGGAGTGTGGGGAAATGAGCAAAGCCTTGCCTCTGCTCATCCACAGTGCCAGCCAGTACAGCTGAGCTGACGTAGAGGAGTGATATAATTTTCTGCTTCTATAGGCCCAGTAAAATAGACATCCATTCTTCTCTATGAGCTTTATCCAAAGTCCACTTAAATCAGTGGAAGGAGTCCCACTAACTTGAATGGCCTTTGGATCAAACCTTAAAGCACTTACCATAGCGGACTGGGTACTTGTTCAAAACGGAGAGTTGGTGACTGTTGTCCTTTTCTATGCACTTGATAGGATGGGGCATCTTTCTAAATAATTTAAGAAATGCATGTTTCACTTTTACATTCAGATAGTGATTTTTTTAATCACTTTGGTTTGCTGCACTTATATTAGAAAACTTATGTTTAAAACAATATTGAAAAACTGGAGGGTTGAATAGATGCATTTTTATCCAGTAACTATATAAATGCTAAATTAAAAATTCCAGCAGACTGTCTGTCATCCTCACACATTCTTACAAAAGCATTAACTTTATACATAAAATAAAATTGAATATGCTGTCATATGCATAAAAGGTTTAATGCTGTATAAATTGGGAATAATTGTTGTGTTTAAGAGAATTAAATTAAACCTGAAGCAATAATAATGTGCCATTTCAATCTAACTGTCTACTTAAAATAAAGTGGCAAACAAATGAAGGCTAAATGATTAATAGCGAGCTTTTATTCACCTCCTCAACAGGCAAAATGGCCAGTTACTGAACATTTTATTGCAAGTGCAAAGGATGTTAATTGTGCTAGAAACATGCTCTAATTTTAGTAATTTTTTGACTGAATACTATGCTGAATATGAGGCTCTTCATTAAATGGAAATTTTATTTTATTTTGTTTGAAGTTATCACAGTAAGTACTCAAATACAGTCCATTAACTGGAGCAAATATCATAGTATATGCATATGAAACCTCCTCTCTACATCCATTACTAACCTAGGAATTTGAAGAGGAAACCCTGCATCTGTTGTCTGCTCATCAACAGAAGTGTTGAATACAGAGTCCATCTAACCTTTATATCAAATGGTGGGGGAGGAATAAGAGGTGTGTGTTTTGTCTACAGATGATTAGAGATGAAGGAGCTCTTCACGCTCATTTTGTTCCAGTGTGGTGACCTGGACTACATAATACAATCAAGCCGCTGTGCACACATTTCAACACAATAGGACTCTTTGGAATCATATTTTGTTATTTGAGTGATTGTTTTTAGCAGAATATTACATATTTCTGTGCTTATGTTGTTTCAAAATAGGCATTTATTCTTGCATATGATTTACATTTATGAATAATAATGATGTTTTAAGACCGCTGTTGTTACTTCATTGGTATAAATTGTCAGGGATTGAAACACTAATCTCAAGCACAAAGTATATCAGGTCACTGACAGTGCTCTGAAACTAAAAGCATCAATATAGAACTAGAGTCCATTTGTTATTTAGATCACACTTTATATTTGTACATTTGTAACTAGTTTAGAAAGTGTTAATAAATGTTGAGTAGATGCTTTAAAATTTAATTGTTACAGATTCTGTAGAGTTCAGCAGGCCAATAGGTTGCTTATAACCATGGCTTGAAAGCCAGTAAGAGTTGGGTGCCTGACTTCTTAAGAGACTGTTGAAAAACCCACTTTGTGGACAACTGTCCCTAAAATCTAGTTCATATATGCCAGTTAAGATACTGCTGATCAACACTTTAGATTACTCTTCTCTCTCTCTTTAAATTTCTTTTCTGGTCTGGGGCTTTTTCACATGGGTGTATGACGTAGTTGAGACGAAAGAGGAACAGAACTATCTGTATTCTACACAAGACTTTTGGGAAAGCTCTATTAAAATAGCAAAGTACATATCTTGGCATTGCATGGTAATGAATGGAGATAATACCATAAAATCTATAGGCTGTTCCCTCTTAGGTATCCAGTACTCGTGAGGGACCAATGTTAATTGGAATAGCACTTTTCCTCAGAGAGCAGAGACCCTGGGGAGTGACTGGAATTTTCTATGGAAGATAAACAGGAATTATTGCCTCATAATTTATGCCCTCTTAAATGAAATTTTACTGGACAATTGAAAAAAGTAGTTGTTGCATTTTTATAATTGCATTTTCTGGGTGTTCCTCTCTTCCCCCTGTTAGTGCCATGATGAATTTATATAAGGAAAATGTTGTATTCCTTGGTCAGATTTGATAGTTTTAAGCCTAATTAGCATTTAAGCTAATTAAAATTAAAGATGAAGAAGGTGCTCTTTGTGGATCTTTGGCTCAAGTTCAGTGCAACTGTTAGGGCCCTAATCCTAAAAATGGTCTCATGCACGAGAAACTTTACACACAAATGGTCTCATTAAACTCAATAGAACTGCTCACATGTGTCAGGGTATACACGCGTGTGGGCAAAGGCTGGAATATTAAATTGGTTAGATATAACTTATTCAAAGTGCTGAATGGTTTTTCTCTTTTTAAAATATTAATATTTCTCTTCTGGTTTTCATAGCAAACAGCAACCTACGGACAGATACTGTAACCTAAGATACAATTCCAACTGGAAGAGCAATAAAGAGGGAGCAGAATTTTCTGAAGTGAATAGAAGACACCACGTTGCTGAGAAAATCCCACAGGGCTCCTCTCAGGACTCATCTTACCTCTCTTCCAAGGACATCTTGGAGGAAAATTACCAGCTGGTAGAAAGACAAAATGTATCTTCTGCATTTGATACAGAATTGTTAAGCCTTGATGGTCAACCTGTTGGGATAAGCAGTGTACCTTTTAGATTGCATACCAAAGGAGAGCTATCAGCAGATGATTGTCAGTACAAACACAGTTCCAGTACATACAGTGATGTTTTGTCTCCTCGATCTGTAGAAGTTCAGCAACAGAGAGCAAAAAAAGACTTTGTGGAAAAAAATAAACTTACTTTGGGATTAGCTACACAAAAACAGGATTCTTATCTTCATCTGCACAGTAGAAAGCGAGAGGAAGTTCACCAAGGGCAGGTGGGTAATGCATTTTATTTAGAACATCTCCTGGCAGGTTATGAACTAAGTGGATGGGCCACTGATTAAAGGGGCACACCTACTAAATCTCTTGGTTTTGCAGAGTGATTCCTGGATTTCCTTCAATCACATGTTTCTCCATAGCACAAGTGATGAAAGAAACCATTTGGGCTGTGTATCTTCCCTGCCCTTGATAGGATGATAGTGTTCTGTGGTGTTCATATTCCCAGTTGTAGCTTTTCAATGGCCCCCAGTTGTGCTATGGCTTCTAGAAAGCTGGCTGTGTCACCTGCTGTCGGTGCAGAAGCCAAGCCTTACTCTTAGTATTCAGTTGAACAGTAGGTAGGAATAATGCTTTGCTATCATACAGGTTCAGTGAGAGGAAGGCCAGGAAAGAGGTTCCTCATGCCATTTTCTCCAAGCTCATCTCTGCAACAGAGGCCAGGACTTGAATTTTAGAGGCATCGCAATGGAGGACTCAAATCCATGCCCTGATTTGGACAAAAAACTTTTTTGTGCCAATGCAAATTGATTACATTAGGTACATTGGCTAAAAGCCTGTTCTTTGATGGTTACCAGATTCAGGATTGTGTGTCTTGGGAGCAAGTTCCCAGTAGCAAGGGCTGTCAGCTGAGAATGCCCTGCGGTCTATCTTGAAAAGCAAGTTCCAGGGACCAGTGACCACATTGCCCTAGAGGATCTCAATAGCTCTGACAGAACAGAAGGGGAGACGTGGTCTCTTGGATAATGAGCCCAGAACTATTTGTAAGATTTCAACATTTTGCATGAAGCTATCTTAATAACAAACTCCTCCTGCCCTTATATTTTTTTATAACTCTAATTTTAATTTAATTTTACTTGGTAATAAAGTGATAAAATTTTCCATCTTACTTGATTTGATTCTTCATCACATCTTAATTGATTCATTTTGTTCTGCACTGGAGTTGTTTGGCTTAGCTTACATGATTTTGTTAATTATGTGCTCTACTAATAATGTACGCACTTGTCTCCTTATGGGTGGTAAACAGCAGTGTTGCAGCATGAAAGAAAAATTACTTCTAATGGTAGAACACTGATAATACAATAGTTTTGAGAGAATCAAAAAAACTGATCCTCTTAACAGTATAAAAAGCTTGTATTTGCAACTTTCCGATTGCTCTGATCACAACAAAAAATACAATTTATATTGTATGCAGCTTGAAAAATCAGAGAAAAGGATATAGATACGGTGTAGTCTGGGTGGATGCATTCACACATTTACTCTGACATTTAGGCCCACATGTTTCCAAGAGTATCTGCTAACCGTGAAGGGGCCAGATTTTGTGTGTCCAAACAGACACCTCAAGCTTGATTTTCAGGTTTGCTGAGCATTTACAATTCTATTTTAAATCAGTGGAAGCTGCTGGCACTACAATCCCTTGGAAATGAAGAGCCTAGTTTTCTCAAGTTCTGTTCTCAAAATTGAAACAACCAACATTAGGGGATACTTTTGAAAATGTTTGTTAAATGTACTGGACTACAATGCAATACAGCACTATCCATCTGTTACATAATGTGAAGATTAGCAAGACAAGGTGGGTGAGGTAATATCTTTTATTGGACCAACTTCTGTTGGTGAGAGAGACAAGCTTGAAAGCTACACAGAGCCAGTAAAAGATATTACCTCACCCACCTTGTCTCTCTAATGTCCTGGGTCAGACATGGCTACAGCTCATAGAATAATGTGAAAATGGAAGTTACAACATAAAAAGTTACACTGTTGAGTTATGCCACAGCTTTCTCTGTAATTGACAAAGCTGGCTAGTGAGACCTTCCATTGTAAATTATGTATCATTCTACAAGGCTAATGAACAACTGATGCAAACACTAGAGGGCACCTGCTGTATGTATTACAACAGTGGAATAGGGGACAAGCTCTTTGCTAGAAGAGATATTAAGAGCACTTGTTTTTCCATCTATAATTCAGTTGATGGCAAATATTATTAATTTAGATTAAGGCTAATTAAAGTTTATGTTGATCTCCCATTTTGAAATTCTGAAAATATATTTGTAGGCTATGCCTAGCATCACATATTATTAGTAAGTAGTATTGGTATTATTGTGGTAGCACCTGGAGGTCCTAATCAGGGATTGGGACTTAATTGTGCTAGAGGCTGAACATTGGTGCAGGGACTATGTCTTGTTATATCAAAGAGCTTACAATCTAGAGCCCTGATCCTGCAATAATGTGTGTGCGCGCGCGCGGACTCCCTTTGACTTCAGTGGGGCTCTATGCTTGAGTGCAGAATTGGAGCCCATAAGTAACGGATTAGGGATAACAACAAGGCAAGCACAAAGTAAATGAGACCACTATGATTAGGCTAATGAGCAGTCAGCATTCTTTTATTTATTGTCATGTTAAGCATTTTCTTTAGGAGCTACATGGACTAGAAAGGTAGAGGTAGTTAAAAATATCCACCTTTGGGACAAGACATTGTGGGCCACGCTCTGTCCACAGTTAAAATAGTGATACAGTGGAATTATTCTGGATTAACATAGCTGCGACAGAACCGAATCTGGCATTTTGTGTGTATTAACATATCACTGAGTACCCTAAAATGCAGGAAAAAACAAACAACAGAGTAAAAGCCTGTTCTGCAAAACACGTCCACCTGAAAAATGAAAGGTCCAAAAATGTCAAAGTAATTAATCCCAGATGGATTTAGTTTTTGAGGCCATGGCAGTGTAAGGAATTTGTTGTTTTTATAACAGCAATGCCCAAAATGTGCCTGGCGCTTTCCAAACAGCCCTTGCCCTGGTGCAGGCGCATCCTAAACATTGCTTGTATGGTTATTATATGGGGATGAGAGATGAAGAGTGGAAAAGATAGATCCCTTCAGGTTAACCAGTAGATTGAAAAGTACTGGATGAGAATGTATTGATGTATCTGAACTGAGTAGCTGAGCTGAGGTAATGATTAGAAAATTCTCTTTGAACTGAGAGTTTGTGTCAAGTTTTTTTTTTTTAGTCTGGAGTTAAAAGTTTAGATAATCAGATATGTACTCAGGTATATTTGTGGATTTGAGGTCAAGGAGATGATGCAGAGATACTGATTTTCATTAGCTTAGATTTCAGAATAGGTGGAAGGAGAATTGGCCATTATGAATTACAGTGATTTCTAGCCAAGCCGGGAGGGCCATATCACTTTCCAGTGGATCCTCACTGGCTAAATAAATGAACAAGTCTAACATTCTCTAAAGCAGGGGTAGGCAACCTATGGCACGTGTGCCGAAGGCGGCACGCGAGCTGATTTTCAGTGACACTCACGCTGCCCGGGTCCTGGCCACTGGTCTGGGGGGCTCTGCATTTTAATTTAATTTTAAATGAAGCTTCTTAAACATTTTAAAAACCTTATTTACTTTACATGCAACAATAGTTTAGTTATATATTATAGACTTATCGAAAGAGACCTTCTAAAAACATTAAAATGTATTACTGGCACGCGAAACCTTAAATTAGAGTGAATAAATGAAGACTCGGCACACCACTTCTGAAAGGTTGCCGATCCCTGCTCTAAAGGAATGGCATCCAGCCATCCTTGCTGTACCATGGAGCCTTTGAAGGGTTGAAAAAAATGTGAGGGAAACCCCTGAAAAAGAAGGGAAAAAACACTGATTAGATTGTTAGTGTGCGTTAAGATGTATTTTTACAACAGAAGAAACAAAAACCTTGATTCGGTCTTCACTTATGCCTGTTTTACAACAGTGTAACTACACTGACTACAGTGGAGTTACTCTTTATTTACTGTGGTGTACATTGGGCCCAAAGCCACAGAAAATAAGACCCTTAATAGAAGTATCAATATTGTCAGCAGGCTAGGAATCAGCAAACAATCAAAGGTGGTCTGGTGCCTCTCTGAAACATCATTCATCTTAAAGTTCTGGAAACTGAATTGGACAGTCAAGGCAGGTAAGTTAATCAGTTAACTGAGGTGACTAAATGAGAATAGTTAAGAAATGGATAATTGGCATTAGAGAATGATGAGGAGTATACAAAAAATAGCGTCTTGGATATATGTGTCAGCATCCAGAACACATGCTCTGGATGTTGTCTTTATGAACTGGATCATTTTCCACTTTTCAGCAAGTTAGAACGGTCATAATTGTTAGCAACACAGTTAACAGTGAAGTATAGCGGGTATAAAATGTTGCATTAAAATATAGAGCGCTTTTCATGTAATTTCACTAAATCATCTCTATAAAAACTTACTATGTTTGATACCAAAGGATCCTTATTCCAAGTTACTGTAAGATTCACAGCCCATTAGATCTGTGGGCTATATATACACACACACACACACACACACACACACACACACCCCCAAACATACTACAAATGCGTGCTTATGGGCTGATATGTATGTTCATTAATTCATATAGCATTTTATAAAGCATCAACTTTTTTGCAGTGCTGCCTGATTCTCTAAGAACCTGATGAGTTTCTTTGAGAGAGAGAAGTAGCTGCCCAATCTAGCTCAGCTGTACTCAATATGAGTTGCTTTCCTCCCTACAAACCTCTTACTTCAAAGCGAGGAACATAATGTACAATTTTTTAATGGCTCCAGACCAAGGCACTCAGACTCTCTGTGCACTGCGCCTTACCTCAGTGTAAACACCTAATCAAGATTGCCTGCGCTTCAACAATAGCAGCCAAATGCAATTCGAGAACCACAAGCCTTTGAAGTCCTCACTGCAAAGGCCGGTTTTCTAGTCTGGGATAATGACATGCCATGATTGCTGTCTTTGTTGTATCTTTTCAGTAGAGAAGCAATTATGGGCCTCAATTTAACAGAATAGACATTACACAGCTTATGATGCTCAAAATGCAATTTCATTTGATCATTTTCTCAATTTGATTGATATTAATAGAATAGTTCACAAAAAAATGCTGGCAGAGGTTGTGTCCTGTTCCTCTTTCAAAGAGATAATGTAGAAGTATGCTTTACCTGCCCAGTAAACTATCAATGCAGTGAGTCAGTGGGTTCCACCAAAAACATCTTACCAATGAAACAGCTGTGTTTCTCTGTCTGCTGTGGAGAAGAAAACCTATGAAGAGTCTTCTTAATTTGTTAACTTCTTTCCTGTAAGAAGAGCTAGTAGACTCTCTCTTACTGTTTGCAGCAATATGCCTTACCTGAAATATCAGCAGTAAGAGCTCCACCCCACTAGTGTAAATTCATTTCTGTTCATACCAGCTGACACAGTTATCTGCATAGACCTGGCTACAGCATATTACCTGTGTCAGCTGTTCTCATACTGGGCTCTGTGGATCATTGGTGGGATACAAAGCACTTGCTGTTAGTCCAGAGAGAGGCTGGCCTGAGGGCAATAAGTCAGTATCCAGTTCTTAAGAAACTGTAGCTTGACTCATGCAGCTTCCTCAGGTGCCGAGTGTCTGCTGTGCATTCCTCTGCAATCTATGGGAGCTGCATAGTCTTTCCAAAGAGCATGTGTGTGAGTGGTTTAGATATAAGCCCAGAGCATTAAACTAGGCATTTCACTTGTACACAGCACCCTGGTATAACAGTCAGGTATTTTACCTGAGAACAACACCCATATGAATGCTTCCTAATTTCAAGTGATTTGCCCTATATACCAAGTTTGTGGATATCTAGTACTCACTTCATTGTTTGGGTCATTGGCCTTAGGCAGCTCCAGTGTAATCCAGATGGCCTACTCCCTGAACAAGTTTGGTGTAGTTGTCCCTTAACTATGCTGTTTGGATTGCCATGCTGTTATAAGCGCCCCAGCCGCTACTGCTATCTGTGCTCTTCTTCCAGCTAGGATGCTGATTGGTTGCATGGAAAAGAGACAGTCATTAATGATCTGAGCTCAAGTTTGCATAGTTAGTAGTTCCACTGGCCACAGACATCTTCTCCCTGTGGCCTTTCCCAAATTAGCCACACCCACTCATCAGTGGTGCTTAGCTGGCGGGTCGGGATGTTTTGTTTACTTGGAGCATCTGCAGGCATGGAGCCCCTCAGCTGGAGCCATTGGCTGGAAACGGCAAACCGTGGCCACAGGGAGCTGAGGGGCTCCAGGTAAACAAACCGACAATGTATTAAATATTCAATTCAATGATTCCATAGAGTTTTAAATCATCAAATTTTGGTGTAGACCCATTTATAAGCCGACCCCCGCTCTTTGATGTGTCACTTTTTTACCAAAAATATTCGGCTTATGAACGAGTATATATGGTAGTTTTGATTTATAGTGCTTGCTGTACTGGATGAATAACTGCATTGGTCTAGGCTTTGCTATGGTGTATGTCCTCCCATGACTGTTTTAGTGCAGTGCTCATTGTCTGCATGGCAGTGATGGATGTGTAGTTTGCTTTCTTCTGCCTGTATTAGAGGTATCTACCTTACATATATTGGGCAGCTTGGTCATCTATTAGCTTCTGCTATGAGTAGGAGTCACTACTGTATGCAACTTTCCTTCCCTCTGTTCTCTTTGAAAGTGCTCAGAATGTCATCCACCACCTTCCTATTAATGGACACGCTACCATGGTCTCTATTAATACTGAATTGTTTGTGAACTCCCTTTGCCTATGTTCCTATTTGGCCCCATCTTTGTCCTGCCATGAATAATATAATGCTGCATTTTACTGTTTACGTTTACTGGCATGCGGATTGTTGCTTGTTTAACCCTTCCCCCCCATCCATAGATCTTTTATGCTGTTCTTGGCCCCACTGAACTACCCCAGTGTATAAAGTCTAGTGGCTCTTAATATATGTTTTTCTTCTTTAGGTTTCAGATGTTAAAACTGCTGATGAGAGGCTTATTCAGAATGCCATTGACTTTCAAAGCATGGCCATGGATCCTGCAGACAAATGGCTCCAGAGGTCACACCAACTAAAGGTTCCTTTCTGGGTGGAATATGAATCTGGTTTTTGGAATCTATAATGCAAACAATCTTGTTCTTGATTTTTTTTTTCCCTTTAAATTTAAACTTGTGGCAAATTTTTTTTTTTTTTTTCTTTTCTTAATATTACTATTTTACAATTCTTTTAATGGTTTTCATCTGAGGCTCTCCGAGCACTTACAAGCATTGCTGTTAATCATTTACAATGCACCTGAAGTGTGCTAAACTGCACATCAGTTATGCCTCAGACCTTTGTAAATGCATTAATCGTTTTACAGATGGACAAACCAAAGTAGAGAGAGATTAAGTTTTTCGCCCAAGGCCACATAACACGTTAGGAGTCCTGGCTCCCAGTGCTACGCTCTAATAGACCATATTTTTGCAAGCGACGTCGATAGCTATAATATAAAAAAACTACCTCTCTAATACAATGTCAAAGTAATTAGTTGCCAAAGTAAAATAGGCTATAGAGAATACACCTAAATATCTTCTTGTTCTACAAATCTTGGGCACTAAAATCCATCACATACATTAAGCATGGAGGAAATGGACTAGATGACCTCTTGAGATCCCTTCCAGGCCTACATTTCTATGATTAAGTAGCATATAGTATCTGCTTTCATAACTATTTATCCGACTCTGTAAATCCCATGACTACCTACTGACTGTCCAACTAGATAGGTAGCTAGGGGATTTATAGAGTAGGAAAGATAGTTATGAAAGCAGAAAAATTATGCTGCTTGATCCATATGATGGATTAAATCCACAATATACCTCCAAGTCTCAAGGAGTCCTGGATTTAAAAGGTCAAGTCTCTTTAGGATTATATGATGCTACTGGCCCATAAAACTAATACATCCAGTGCTCACTGTTTTTGGTGGGTTACCAGGGCTTCTTAATTTCATTGTTGCATTCCGTGTTCTTTGGGGAGGGAGGATGCTGATCTCTATCAAGGGGATGTTTTAAGACAGAAAATGTTTACAGGTGGAGGGGGGTGCACCTTAGGGTCTGTCAAGCTAGGTAGTTACCTAAAATTGATAAATCTAGTAGATGACTGACTGCCTTTCACACTAGTGCAGTGAAATAATTACCTCTTGGAATAAGACCAGAGTAGACCAGGTTTCATCACTGACAAAGACATAAGCACTTTAGAAGTACCTGAGAAAGTAGAATCCAGCTAGAACAGATGTGAAAACTATTTATGGTAGCATCAATAATTAATTTAGTTTGCTGCTCAGACTATAGTGGAGAAGGAGAATGTAAGGACCAAGAGATTCATTTTGTTCCTTTGCCCTTACAATAAAAAGCAATGCAGCTGTAATGTGGAAGATCGTACGTGGAGTACAGTATTTGAAAGATATGTAATTAGGCATAAATAAGGAATGGAATAGTCAGTTTAGGGCAAGAATAAACAGATTATGATCTGAATAAGACCAAAAATAGTCTCAAACAGATATAAGGCCAACAGCACCTGATTCTCTGTATCAGCAGAAAATTCTCCTAAAGCCCTGGCTGGGATGATTTAGTTGGGGTTGGTCCTGCTTTGAGCGGGGGTTGGACTAGATACCTCTTGAGGTCCCTTCCAACTCTGATATTCTATGAGTCTAAAGAAAATAAAAATGCAGTAAAAAGAAACAAGAGTTCAGCAGTCCTAAAACAGAGTAGAAGGGGAAATAAATCTGTCCCTAGTTAAGGGTTGGCATAGATCACTTCCCTGTCGGAATAAGAGGGGAACCAAGGACTCAAATCACAATTCACTCCTTGGTCAGCTCCTGAGCCATCACAGTTATGTCCTATTTCTTATCAGGGCAGACTGTATTGTTACAGTTTAGGGTTTAAAAATAATAACCGGAGTATATGATAAGTGTCAATGTTCATTGATAACCTTAGCTGAGAATTCCCATTTGTGTTTGAGTTCTGTAACAATCTTGTTCTTTCCCAGTTGTTTTTACAAGTAGGAAAAAATTTTGCGATCTTGATTTAGTTAATGAAGGTCTCTATTTGGCAATTTAGGAGAAGTGTAACAGTGACTTTCTCAAAGGGTGCTGGAGGCAAAACAATAGGGACCAGCAACTGAAGGATCTTCCTATGCAGCAATTTCTGCCATGGAACAGACCACTTGCTTGTAGGTGGGACAAAACCAAGTCTGCAACAGTCTTATGGTACCATGCTAAAGCCCTGCGGCCTGATTCTCCACTTCACTGCGCCAGTTTTACGCCAGGTTTCATAGATTTTTAAGGCCAGAAGGGACCATTAGATTATCTAGACAGGCCACAGAATTCCACACATCCACTCCCATACCGAGTCCAACAACCTGTTTTTCACCGATGCATGTTGTCCAGAAAGAGATCCAGTCTCAAGTTTAGAAATTAAGAGATGGAGAATTCACTACTTCCCTTGATAGTTTGTTCCAATGGTTATTCATGTTCACTGTTAAATTGTGCCCTATTTCTCGCTTGAATTTGTCAGGCTTTAACTTCGTTATGCCTTTCTCCACTAAATTGAACCTGCAATCAAACCTCTTACTGACCTTATAAAAAGCAAGATGTTCCAGGAACATGTTCATGTTTTGTCAGATGCGGTGTGAAGTTCTGGCTTGAGGCAAGAGCAAGGCAATGCCATGGCAAAAGGGGAGGGGAGGGTCTGGAGTTTTCCATGATTTGAAATCTTCAAGTTGAGACTGGACACCTTTCTGAAAGATCTGGTCCAGCTCAGCCAGCCATTGTGCTGGATGCAGGAGCTACTGGGTGAGACTTCCCAGCCTGCGTGATGCAGGAAATCCCAACAGTCCCCTCTGGGGATATTTTTCCATAGGAAAGCTGGGCTTTTCTCCATTCGTTACATGTTCCAGACTGCAGCATTCCCCAGTGAGGAGCTTCTGTCACTTTGGAGAGAGGTTCCCAAGCATTTCCTTGGCAGCTGGCACGTCATCAGACAGAGACCCTGCACCAGCTCCAGCTCTGCTCAGCCCGCTGTTTATATCTGCTTCTTGGTGTTGAAACCAGTCTGAGAGGAAGCATTAAGTGCTAGACTATTGGACTGTCTGCCAAGATAATGCTACTTGAAGTCGACTGAGTTATGCTGGTATAAAACTGATGTAACCGAGTGAAAAGTCAGGCTCTCCTGGTCTTTACAGGGTCATTTCCACCTGCTTTTACAGACTTTTTGTATGTTTAAAATAGTTATAAGATGGGTATGTCCCATCTACATAGGTAAGATCAAACATTGTGACAAGATATCCTGATATAGCAGAAATTGCTCTGCCGCTGGCTCATAGTATAGTGGCTGACTGGGTCTATGTGACTATGAAGGGAGAAGTATAAACATAGGGGGAAACAAGATAAATATACTTATTCTTCTTGCAAGCTTTTCTTCTCCTTGTTTTTGTGTTTTCCTTCTCCTCAGACACTTTCCCTCACACCATGGCCGGCTCCAGGGTTTTTGCCGCCCCAAGCAACCCAAAAAAAAAAAGTCGCGATCATGATCTGCGGCACTTCGGCGGCAGGTCCTTCACTCCAAGCGGGAGTGAGGGACCCTCCGCCGAATTGCCGCCGAATAGCTGGACGTGCCGCCCCCCTCCGGAGTGGCCGCCCCAAGCACCTGCTTCCTAAGCTGGTGCCTGGAGCCGGCCCTGCCTCACACACAGGTGGCTATGAATCACAGGCTAAACCCAGAATATTTTTTCTACTCCTAAGGGATTTGAACACCTAGTTCCCATAAATTTAATGGGAATTTGGCATCCAAATTGCCTAGCCTCCTTTCAAAAAAAAAATCTCTGCCCTAGTTTTTGTATTAAGTTTATGCTGAAGTAGCTCAAGCAGATTGTTTGAATTTCCTGCTGTTCATTTAAGGCAAGAAGCTGTGCTCCTTAAGAGAGCAAACAGCAGTTTATGCTATTATTCATGGTAAAAGATGTTCTGTAGATTTCAAATTTCTTAGTAAAGGAAGAATTTTACAATGCTACTTGATCCATCTAAGTGGGAAAACAATGGCTCAGTCACAGTTTGTCCCTGGTTCATGCTGAGACCCTGGGACCCTTCCATCGGTGGCACCATCGGTAAAAGCACTAATCATTATGGAAGAGGTCTAGCTAACAAATTATCATCTTGGCACCAGGAGTCAGAATTCCCCAGTGCTAAAGCTTTCACCAAAACATTCAGCTCTATATGTGGACTTAATACCTACCATTAAGCAGTTACTCTGAGTGCATATGCTATGTAGTGATTGCAAGTGTTGGTAACAAAAGAACCCTAGTGAGACTGGAGGATGAAATGGAGGATTTCAGTTCTGATGAAGATTAAATGGACTGAGAATGGCTTTGTGTATTACCTTTAAGGAAACCTATATGTTGCCTCAAAAGGATCAACACCTGGTGCCTTAATTGGGAAAATGATAAATCTTAAGTAAACCCCAGATTTCAAGTACGTTGCTTTGGGTAGTGAGAGAAGTCCCACTGAATTTAAATTCCTGAATTGTTTGTTTGTTGTTTGTTTGCTGGGATGACGTGTTTCAGGATTTACAAGCACATGAATACTTGGTTTAACAATTGAAACAATTGAAACTGTGCATCGTGATTTATTTCTTTGTCCACTGCAAACAAGTCTAAAAAATGCACCCTTCGAAAAGGTCGTGTGTAATCTAGGCTGTGATTAGTGCTGTGGATATTAGCAATAGGTAAAGGGTTGAATAACTTGAATTGAGACTACTACATGCAGACAATAACTCCAGGCAAGTCTCTTACTAGATCTATTGCTTTAACTTGGAATTCCAAAGACACCTAAGGACCTATTTACGCTAAATACGTCACGCTGGGAAAATACTTATTTCATCAATCTGGAGAGCTTTTGACCAATAATATGTCAGAGTAAAGCTCTGCCACTAGCTCCTTTTACAGTATTTTAATTTTTACTGTGTGGGAGAGGGAAATAATTGGCTGCTTGTATTTTTATTTCTTTCTACTAAAAACCATGACTTTTTGACATATAATTAAAATCATAAACAGCAATACCAAATCAGAAGTTAACGCCTTCTGTCCACCTCCCATTTCCAAATCTAGCAACAAAACAACCAGTAAACAGAGCCAAATTCTCTGCTGTTGTAAATTGGCACTCCTCTATTGAGGTCAATGAAAGTGTGCCATTCACACCAGAAGAAAATCTGACTCCAAAATTTCTCAATTATACACTGGACCAGATTGTCAGTTGGTTTAAATTGAAGTGGCTCCAGTGAAGTTAACAGGTTTGCCACCATTTACAATAGCTGAGGACCTGGTCTACTATACATACAAGTATAGTAAAGTAAAAACAAGACAGCACTTCAGCATATGGTTAACCTGAAGTACATGCTCAAGTCCCACTGACTTCTGCGGAATTTAAGCATATGCTTAAGTGCTGTCCTGAATTGGGGCCTAAGGTTTGTGGATGTAGAGAAATCCCTGAATGAAAGGTATTGGTGCAGCAAAAAGTATGTGTAAGTTTAGTATGTTTGTCTTTTCAAGATATCATTTAATATGCATGCAAAATGATCACCTCAGAGTTTCACAATACTCTTTTTAGGATCACCAAAATAAACGACCCCAGGCAGACAGAACAAAATTAAATCGAGTGCTAAGAGAGAGATCTTTACCAGCAAGTGATGTCCAGCATCCACCAGGAAGACTAGCGGAACCAAGACCTCAGCATCACACACATCGCAATGTATCAGAATTTGAGAACTTTCATATGGATTCAAACTCTTCTGAAGTGCTAGAACTTGAAAAAGATGACAATAGTTCACTGCATAGTTGGTTACAAACAAATCCCTTCATTGGTCCAATTACTCCTTTCATTAAGACTAGTTCAGCAGCAGATTGGGAGACACACTCAAATACTTTACAAAATAATTCAGATCTGGTAAACCGGAATCAGAAGCAAATCTCCATGAACTTGGCTTCATCAAGGCACCATCTTGAACTAACAATGCATAAAAACGCTACTGGGTTGAATTTATCTCCAGCATATACTAGTGAAGAAAACAAGAAATATCAGCAAAACCCCAGAAACAGACCTCCGTATAATCAGCAACATTTACAGAATAGTTATGTTTTGGAGCCTCTTCCACCTGATGGGCATGCCAAAGGTCACATGCTCCTAAACCAGAAAAGCATCGCATCTACTTACAATGCTAATTTTCAAGAATCAGTAAAAGACCAAGTTTCAACTCAGAATCATAGAAAGCAATTTTATATAGACAAGAGCCATCACAACAACTATGCTACCAACAGCTTGTGGTAAGGACTCATGTTTCAAAATGTTATTAGCATAATGGTACATGATGCCAAGGAAGTCATATTAGAGAAGGCCAAGGAAGTGTTCAGAAAAATCTGATACATTCAACCACAGTAATTTATTCATAACTTATAGTTTGTTCATTAGTGTTTGATTTAATAAACAGTTGAACACTATTTTTAAGCTTTCAATACCCTAGCCATTCCTACACTTGAAATTCCCTTTGATCTTAGTGTGTTTGTACATGCCAGGACTGCAAGATCAGGCTTAAGAATGGTAACTGAAAAACTGATATTAAAGGGCAAAACAAAGAAACATTTAGTTGCATCATCCATGAACTGAGTCTAGAGGAACCTGTTTGTACTCAACTTGGTTATACCAAAACCCAGCTTGTGGCAAGGTGGAGTGAAAATCCCAAATTGCTCCAATGCAATTCAGTGCGCTGCCACTCATCTTTCAACACTTGTCTATACTGGTATTCTTCTTAAAAATCTTCCTCAATTGCAGGTCCACCAGAAGTGGTCCTAGTGTATATAAGGTACAAGCAGCTGGTCGCATTTTTACCAATCCTGCACTTGCTCTGTTTATCAAATTCCCATCAAAGTCAAAGGTTTTGTGTGTCGAAGTTCTTAGAAGAATAAAATCTGACACCGCTAGCATGAAAAAGGCATGAGAGGTTAAAACTATTCATATAGAGCTTGTGTGGATTGATGGTAATAAATGAAAATTCTACTTTCAATGAACACAAAGGGCCTGATTTTTACCTACTTAAAAGGCCTGCTCCAAAGCCGACTGAAATCAATGGATACCTTTTCATTGACTTCACTGAGCTTTGGATCAGGCCCAGACTTTGCCCCAGTTGACTTAATGATGTTATTCCTGGTATACATGGGTGTGTGAATGAGATCAGAATCAGTCACAAACGGTCATGTTCACTTCTGATGTTCTGAAAGCTTGCGTGCGTAATTCAATGAGTTGAAAATGTACCCAGCAAACAATATCTAATGGTTTTCAAAATATGTTTGAATAGCAATGACAATTTCAGTTTACAGATTGCTTATTGGGGCTTTGCATCTAGGTATGAGTAAACACAATTTCCTTCTTTCGTTTTGTTTTGTTTTAAAATTGAGGCCATCCCAGTCATCTGGTCAGAAGCCACTAGCAAGCCCTTCTCCAACCACACAACTTATACAGACAATGGAACAACATCATCAAAAAATCTCTCAACTGGAAGACACTCACCTTGCCGAAAGGCAGTTCTCTGGCTGGTTTCCACCTGTAATCCCACGGGTAGAAAGTGACTCAGAGATTAACACAGAAAGAAGTGAAGGAAACAGAGTGAAAATTAGTCGCAGCAACTCAGAAGGGTACCTGCTGCAAATGGGAAAGCAAAAACAGCTGAAAGAGAAAGGGACTAGGAAGGTAAGAAAAGATGGGTAAGTTAGAAACCAATTTTATACTGCTGTTTCCTCCTCTGATTAAATTAGTACTTTGTGCTGGTTATCCATAGATCTCAAAGCACTTTAAAAGGGGTATTATTCCCATTTTACAGAAGGGGAATTGATACTCCGAGAGGTTAAGTGACATGCCCAGCATCAAACAAGTCAGTGGCAGAAGCAGATATGGAAAAAGAAAATAACTAGTAGCTGATCTGACCAACTCACTCCCACACTTTATATTCCAAGGAGTTGACACAATTCACCACTGCATCTTTCCACTCCACTTTTCCAGAGAAGGTCACCTGCTAGAACACATAGGGAGCTGTTGATCCTTTAAGTTATTCCTGTGGTAAAATGATTGAGAAAGAAGCCATTTGTACAGGACAGCAGGTAGCCAGGCCTCAAATCTGAATAAGTTATTATCTTTGTCATGCCCATTTGCCAGTCAGATCAAATCTCTTGGTTTCCAAGGGAATTCAAACTGAACAACATTAAAAGTTACAGGATTTGTGAAGCTAATGTTATAAACATTATTCCAGGTCTGCTGACAATCCCATTCTGATCACTTATTAAAATTGAGCTCTGTGTCTCTTCTGTGTGTCCAAATTTCATACTATAACCATTTAACACTGATGTAATGGAACAGTATAAAGAGATCCTTGTACACCCATGACAAATTAAATGTTTAAGAAGTTAGCTTGTCTGCACTGAGAAATGCAGCTAAGCTGGAATAATTATTCATGTGCTTCATCTAGGAGGCAGTTTGTGTATTGCTGCTTGACTGCCTCTAAGAAGGGTTAGCTGGATTAAGATAGTAACTACAGATTTCCTTCCTTTTCCATTCCCTGTGTTCAAGCCATTGTTTTTGTCCTTTTTTCCAATAACTTTCTCACACTTACACATCTGAAGAATTTTGTGGAGAATTGGATTGTTTATGTCTCGCAGTACAACCCAGCTTCTCACATTAAACAGAAGTCCATACAAACACACCAAGGTCAAATTTAATTCACACATATTTTGGCTTTGAAAATATATTGGAAATTATTACAGCTTCTTGAGAAAAACCTGGATTTATTCCATACAGCTAAATGGTTAACTCCCTGTATTAGCTTCAGTTTAAAAAACAGTTATATAATTGTTCCATAAAAAAGTTCGGATACTTGACTCAAAACAAAAGTCTAATATTTCTAATATAATATAGATTTCATTTGTTTGCCGGTTGGGCCTGACTTAAAACATGTTCATCATTTGACGAAGGTACTTTTTTGCTGGTAGAAATTCTTTTGGCATTTCTGTAGACACTACATTATTGGAATTACTACAGTAGGCGGCCAGAAAGAAAATAAAGCAAACCAGAGTCTGGATTATTAAGCATTTTCACTGGCACACTTTTAAAATTTTGCCCAGCTACGAAAGTTAATTGAGTCTCTTTGGAACAGATGTAACGAGATCCAGGAATGCCCAGCTCTCCCCAGACAAGCCAGAAAAGCATCTTATCCTGGAGCTAACATAATGGATGGTTAGAAATGGATTAAGATTAAATTCTGGTTCCCCACACAAACAACTAAAAAAAGGGTTTTGCACGGGGGATCAGCACAGGGCAAAAGAGAAGCGACAGTGCTCCCAAGCAGGAGGGTGGGTGCAGTGCACTTGTGTAGGCTCGGTTGAGGCCACTGCAACAAAAACATAGTATGAGAGTCCACTAGCAATGACCTTCCTTTTTGCCTGCTCCAGCCAATTCACTTGTAAAGATTTTGTTCCATACTAGTACTGTTAATTTTTAACCTTTTCAGGTGAATGATTGCTTCCAACTAAAAAGGGTGACGGGGTGCTGCTCACAACACTGTCATGTGGCCAAATGAGGTTCCATATAGCAATATTATTGGAAAAGAGTAAACTTTGCAATCCCTAGTTATTAGGAACTGGGTTCAAAGTCAACCTAATTAGAAGGTTCTCATGTTACTTATGGCATTTCTGAGAATGGAAGTATACGGGCACTCAAAAGATGCAAGAAGAATTTGACTAGCCTCATGGGAAAACAGTGTCTAATTGTTGTGCATCACCAATATAATATTGTAAAGAAGAGTCATTTTAGAAACTATTCCATATCGTTTTCATAAGATAAAGGGAATCTCTGACAACAGAGCCCTTTGTTGATTGGATTTATGAGCTGTGGGTTTTGTTTTGGTGCGGATTTTTTCCAACAAGTGTATTCATTTAAAGCTACGTGGCCAGATTCTTCTCGGTTACATCAGTGTAAATTAGGGGCAACACTGATGACTTGAGTGTAAATCAGGAATAATTTAACTTGTGTAACTGAGATCAGAATTACACTTAGTCTACCCAAACCATCTTCTAGAGCCTCTACCTTCCTCCCCAGGTCTTCCTCCCCTTCCTTCCATTCTGGGTGAAATCCTGACTCCACTGACTCTGGCCATTGATTTCAGTGAGTCCAGGATTCCACCTTGTGCCTTCTCTCCCCCCATCACTGAATTTGCTATCCCAGGCACTAGGTCTTTAGTTAGTTACCAGAAGGATACATAATGAACTTCTCTTATCACCAAAAGCAGGGTGTTTTCTGTAGTTTTGCTACAAGGCTTTGTTCAAAAGTTCTGTTAATGTAATAACTGCCAAATGCATTGTCATTTTAAGCTGTTTAATAGAATTCAGCTCATGAAATGCAAGACTGGCAAATTACAAAGTGGAGGGGGTTTGCCTGTTAGTCATTCAAATGCCTACATAATATGGGAAATTTTTAAAGGAATATTATCACATGAAACAAATTACATTCATTCAACCTTAAGTTTGCTCACTTTACTTATAAAGCAAGTGCCAAAGTTAAGGTTGAACATGCAACCTGAATTCTGCCCATCTTGTGCATATCCATTACACACATCTTTAATTATGTGATCATATGCTGTAGTACAAGCGGAAATTATTCATGCACCTTAAATACACAAGCATTCATGTGAATGCTTTACATTTCACTAAACTGTCTTTATTTTCAAAACTGTTTTCTATACACCCTGGCAAAAACTTTCAAAAAGGCAAATCCATTTTTCTCCTGTTCTGTCATTATACCTGGGAATGTAATTTATAGTAGGACATACCTGCTCAGGGTAAAGACACCTTTAAGATTTTTGCATTACTGAGGGAGACTTTTGCCCTCCATACCAACAGTTAAAGGAAGATGTATTTGATTCTGTCTTTAGCCTTCTAGGCCAAGAAACTACATGAACCTGGATGTGAAGCTCGGAGGCCTTGGACCTGACTATGAAGCAGTCAGAGAGAAAGTAGGTGTCACAAATAGCATTTTGTCTGCTTTTTTTGTCCCAAAGTTATGCCAAGTAAGCGGATGTAGAATGCAATGGAGATGAAAGCACAGTTGATAAAGTAACTAAAAAATGCCTGTTTTTAAATGTTAAATTCCAAAGAGGACCATCCTTCTGAGTGTTAGGAAAGCAACTAGTACATCTGTTAACCACGCCATTCATGAGTCCAACTAAGACAATAAAACAAAACAAAACATTAAGATCTCCTCTACCAGTTAGGTTAAGAAGTAGCCCCTTTTTTTCCATGTGCATCTCTCTTGCCAGGTGCCCTCTCTGATCCATATAAACAATATTGATGCGGGTCCATGGCCACCTAGCACATCATGCCTGTCATTAGGCTGCACCCCATCGCCCTTTGGAATTTTTTATAGAACACTCAAACTTCCAGCCACCTGTGCTAAAAGGGACTCTCCTTAGCAATACAGGGTTTGTTACACAGTTGAACAATTCTGCTCATCCATTAGCACTCATTCACACTAGCCAGTTCATTGCAAAACTATGTATAAATATGTGCTAGATTTCAAGACTTGGTTTTCACAAAACCCACAGCTAATTTTCATAGATTCATAGGTCAGAAGGGACCATTGTCATCATCTAGTCAGATATCATGCATAATATAGCCCTGAATTAATTCTTCATTCAAGTGGTTGAACTAGAATAGTCTGTTAGAAAACCCATCACAACCATTGATAAATTGTTCCAGTGGTTAATTACTCTCTTAAATATGTACACCTTATTTCTAGTCTCAATTTGTCTAGCTTTCAACCATTGGATCAACTTTCAGTCATTAGAGCTTGTTATATCTTTGTCTGCTAGATTACAGAACCCTTTACTGTCAAACTTAACTATAAGGCATGTTTTCCAATCCTTTAATTATTCTTGTGGCTCTTCTCTGAACTCTCTCCAATTTTTCAACAGCCTTCTTGAATTGTGGACACCAGACCTGGACACTATATTCCAGTAGCTGTTACACCAGTGCCAAATACAGAGGTCATGTAACCTCCATATTCCTACTCAGTATTCCTCTGTTTTTAAATCCAAGAATCACATGAGCCCTTTATAGCCACAGCGTAGCACTGGGAGCTGATCTTCAGTTGATGAGCCACCATGAACCCCAAGTCTTTTTTTCCAGAGTCCCGGCTTCCCAAGATAGAGACCTCCATCCTGTAAATATGGCCTACATTCTTTGTTTCTAGATATGACCTTTCATTCAGCCATATTAATACATATATTGATTGCACCTAGCTTGGCAAGAGATCCAGATCACTCTGTAACAGCGACCCATCCTCTTCATTATTTACCACTCCCCCAATCTTTGTGTCATCTGAAAACTTGATCAGTAATGACTTTGTTTTCTTCCTAGTCATTACAAAAATATTTAATAGCATAGAACCAAGAACAGATCTCTGAGGGACCCCATCAAAAATCATCCAATTGATGATTCTCCATTTACAATTAGATTGAGACCTAACCCCACTTCAATAGGTGCCACTGATTTTGTATCATTCTAGTTTCTTAATCAAAATGTCATGTGGTACCAAGACATCTACATTTATTACATCAACACTATATTGTAGTAGCACATCCTCACCTCGTGGGCATCCCCTTGTCTCTGGTAGCAGAGTTGTATGGAGTCCTTGTCGGTCTCCCCCACCTGGGCTCTCCTTTGGACCTGCAGCAGCCTCTCTCAGTCTGTGTCTTCTCCTGACTCCCCCTCTGGGTGTTCTGTGGCTTGGCCCTCCAACCAAGTCACACAAAAAAATGTAAACCCCTTCCAGAGCAGCAAGAGCAAGTCCAAATAAAAGTCCACACAAATCTTCAAACTAACAGCCCTTCCGCCCCTCTCGGGCTTCACTGTAGTTCTCTTGTTGACTCTACCTCCGGGCTCCCCCACCAGGAGCCTCAACTGCTAGTGTAGCTTGTTCCTCTGCTATTTCCTGTCTATTAAACCCTATCCCAGGGCTTCTCTCCACCAGAGAGACTTGTCTTCTAGGTAGTCTCTCTTGACCTGAGTTCCCTCAGTCTGCTTATTAGGCCTAGCTCTGCCTCCTCTGGCCAGGAGGCAATTAGTCAATCCCCCCCCCCCCAGGTGCAGAGCATGACTAATTGGGGTTCTTTCCCTTGCCTTGCAGATGATGGAGGTTATGCCCCATCACACACTTATCAGCCCAGCTTGTAATCTCATAAAAAAAATATATCAAGTCAGTTTGAGAAGATCTATTTTCCATAAACCTGTGCTGAGTAACATTATTATCCATCTAAACCAGGGATCTCAAACTCAAATGACCATGAGAGCCACATGAGGACTAGTACATTGGCCCAAGGGCCGCATCACTGACACACCCCTCCCCCGGTGCCCTCAGCCCTGCCCCCACTCCACCCCTTCCATGAGGCCCCGCCCTTGCCATACCTCTTCCCCCCCATTCCAAACCCTTCCCCAAATTCCCCACCCCAACTCCGCCCCCTCCC